GTTACATTTAAAGAATAGATGTGGTTTTAGGTCCAGCTAATTAAACTACTGAATTCAAGTTGGAAGGTTGCTGAAATTACTCTAAGAAGTTTCCATGAGAATTTATCAAGAAAAAATTTTCTTTCCTTGAACAAGTGGGAAGAAATAAGAGTCCTTTAATATGCTCCTCCTTTCTTTGCTTGGACAGCTAGGCATGTCAGAGAAATACCTGCTCAGGCCACAGTAATTATTAAAATTTGTCATGCACTCCCATGGACCTCTGACATGAAGTGCATTTTCTGGCACACTATCATTATTTATGTAAACACATTTCACACGTTGAGCACGATTCTTACATCTTAAATCAAATCACCTTTGAATGGAATACAGATTAAGCATGTTAAATAAAATTATTAAATAGGTATACATTGCTATTTCATATTTGTAGATGTTAGTTAATAAATAAATAGAAAAAATTTAAAATAAATTACATTTATGTTATTTCTAACTTTGCATACATTTGACAACTTTTAATTTTTGCTATATTGCCACATGTGAGCATTCATCTCCTTTTTCTCACCCTCCACAGAGTCCAGAGCCTGAACCCTATAATGCATCCTACCCCCTTTGGACAATAGCTACAGTCATATGCACCTCAAATTCACATGGAAAGCTTAGCTTTCTAGAACCTAACCTTAGACCGTTCAATAGAGAAAGAAAAAGTTTAGCACAAAGGTTCACAAAACTTCAATTTAAGAAAAAAGTAGTTGCATTACTAATAATAGTATAACTCACAATATCCTATTTATACAAACAGAGCCAATGTTTCTTAACCTTTTAAATTCTGGTAAGGAAAATTAAGTAAATGGTTGGTTAACTAAATTTAATAAAAAGAACTGTAGAACATTATGATTATTCATTTTGTCACCAGTATTTATTTTTATTAAGCCATATAGGTGTGTTAATATTGATTATAAGGCAAGGATTGATTAAGCAATCATATAGGGACTTTAAAAAGGTTACAGTGCAATTATAATTTTGGGAAATGAGCTGAAAATCAAATTGGATATGTCATAAAAGAAATATAATGAGAAAGAGTATTTAAAATGAAGTTAGCAGTATCATTTGTAAAACAGATGTACATTTTATAAAATAAACCCGTGTGTTCACTGTAAGGTTGAAATGAGTTAACATATTTAAAATATTTAAGCTTTACTTCCCAGACAAGTGAACAATCAACAAACATAAGCTGTTCACATGCGGCTGAGGTCTTTCGAAGTCTCTTCCATGAGTCTACTTTAGTAGTAGTTTTATAAAACTCACCACCAGGATTTTTGGTCGTAATTTTATACTACCCACCACCAATGTTTGTTTTTGTGTGTATTTACGTAGGTGAGTGTATATACTCATGTATATGTAATTTTCATGCCAAAGGAAGATAACTACTAAGGTATAGTTCAATTTTATTATCTTTAATAAATGTGATGTCATTAGTATATGGATAATTTGATTCTTTAAATATATGTGTATTTTATAATATATGCATTAGTAGTTTTTACAGGGAGTATAATCAGTAAAGGCTACACTATGTTTATTTAGCACTGTACATTAAGTTTTAAAAATCACATCATTTAGGGGCCAGGGATTTAGCTCAGCGGCACAGCGCCTGCCTGGCATGAGCGAGGTCATGAGTTCTGTTCCCGGTACAAGAAAAAAAAAAAAAAATCACATCATTCCAAGCAAAGACGTCATACTCCAAGAGACAAAAGCCTATGAAAATGTACAGATTTAAAAAGTCACATATATTATAAGAAGTACAGTTATGAAAGAGGACCGGTCTGTTAAGCAAGTCTCATATTTGAAAAGAACAACAAAAGTTGAGTTGGCTAATATTTTAGAAACTAACTTTAATCTGTAATGTGGTCCTCTTTTCATATTTCAGAAGATGAGGATAAGGGGCTGGGGATTTAGCTCAGCGGCAAAAGCGCCTGCCTGGCAAGCGTAAGGTCGTGAGTTCGGTTCCCGGTACCGGAGAAAAACAAAAAAAAAAAAAAAAAAAAAAAAAACCAGAAGATGAGGATAGCAGCAGCAGTACAAAAAACACATTTATAATAAATACTACATAATATATGATAAAGTTAATGTATTAAAGGTAAAAATCCTTGTCTAATTATTGTATACAGAAAAGCACACTGTGAGAATACTTTAAGAAATTTTAGTAACAAGTATTAATGTACAATCATTTTCATAATTTATAAATTTTGTTTCATTTTAAGACTTAAAGCACTTAACACCTCATTCATTAGACATAAATATTTAGCAAATGGTTAGCAAAGTATGTTTAAACATTTTAATAATAATCTATATTTACTAAATATTAGTAAGTTTTGAAGTATTAATTGTATGATGAATACTTAAGTTTTTAGCTAAGGAATTACTGATGGATAAAAAGGATTAATGATTCCAGATTTAAAACATGTAAAATCAATGAGCATTTCTTCACAAGGGCATTTCAGTCATTAATGTTTTATTAGGAATTCACGGTGAGTTTATTCTGTATCTGTGAATGATGCTGATGTAAGAAAATTATGACAGAAAGAAACTTGCCACCAAAATTTTAAATAAAATCTCGGTTTTATCTTTTAACCTCCTTTCAGACTCCCCTTTACTTTTCTCCTTTTAAATTACTGTAGTATATTCCCACTAAGTCTGCAAACTTCTCTGATTTCCAGAATCTTCTTATACCCATACTGCCACTCAGATGTAGTGAAACACAGAAAGGTTAAATTTTTGTGTCTTGTCTCCACCACCTGTGTTTTTCAAAGATCATCTGGGACAAAATAGAGCTAAGCCTAACGGACTTATATTTTCAATAACTGAAAAGTAAATGTAACGGCAGTGAGGTAGGGAAGCCGTTTCAAGGCAGTGCGGCCTTGTGTGTCCTGTGTGTGTAACTGACTCCTTCAGCCGGGTACCTGGTACTTCTGTAGGTCTAAGCTACAGCCTGAGTTAGGCAGGGAGGAGGGAGAGGGGGATGGGCCATAAGATGGAGCCAGCAGATTTCTGTGACCTTCCCACAATGTTTAAGTTAAAATAAACAAATGTTGAACCCAAGTTGAGGGCAGCTTCGGGCTGGACAGATGCGGTTGTATTTGCTATGCCTCTCGCTGTACTGTAATTTCTGGTGCCAGCTGCTCACTTCAGGTGCAGTGAGTGTTTTGTTATCACTGGTCGTTGAGGACAGCTTGGGGAGACACAGTCATAGGGTCACTGACGGACTTCACAGAAAGATACGTTGTTCTAAAGTATTTATAAAAGAACTTGGCATAATTGGCGAATATAGGGAGAAGAGTTATTGATATATATGCGCAAATTGCTATAGATATATGTCAACCAGATACACAGATCAAAATGTAGGGTATAAACAACCAGTGTGCATCATGTTCTCTAGGTTTCCTCTACCTTGAAAATACTCCCATACTAATAGAGGGGTGACTGGAAAGGTTGTTTTGTTTAGTGGGCTACTTTACTGACATGCACACTAAAGAGTATCAGACTGTGATATACCACAAGCTGTGCTGTTATCTAAAGTAAGAGGAATATATTTAGGCTGCTGTCTTGGCAAATGCAGGCAGATGCACTGCCTGAAGTGCTTAGCCAAATACGTTTTTAAAATAATATTTAGATTTTTTGAGGACCTAGATCAGTATTTTACAGACTGTGCCCATTTTAAACCTAATACTCTTCTTCATGTTTTATAACATGGTGTCTAGATTCTAGATGAGTTAGGATTTATATGTAAGAAAGATTCCATAGAGAAAAACCAACCATTATATCCTTTAGGGTGTATTTTCAACCAGTATTAGAAGAGCAGTTTTATAATTTCTGTATCCAGTAAAGTTACACATATTTTACAAAGGCTTTCATTTTTAGAAACGGTGATAATCAAAAATTTAAATTTGAATAGAATTACTGTAGAGCTACTACAAAATAATATTAAAGTTGTTCACCTGGCAGCCCATCCTCAATTTTGGTTAAGCTCTCTTCCTCAGTGAAATAATTTAAGAATTTGTTAACATGTTTTCACCAGCTTGAACCAGCAATGGTACAAGTCCCAGCAGGCAGCTTGTACCACTCGTGGTACGAAGGATCTAATCAAATTATCAGTCTTTTTACTCATGAAATTAATAAAAAGCTGCCCAGTGAGAGTTGTGTGTGTACCATCCGTAGTTCAAGCCACCAGCAGCAGACATAAGAATTACGGCCTCCTGCAAACATGCTAGATCAATACTTTTTGATAATCAGGTAGATTAGCTACTGTAGAAAATGTTTATATGCAAATACATGTACAGCGCTGCATCACTTAAGAACAGAAAGTCTGAAATGCATGACTTGGCAATTTTGTCACACTGCAGACATCACAGAGTGTATTTACACAAATTAAGCTATGACATCGCTAAGGAATACAATCTTATAAGACCACTATCATGTAAGCAGCCCACCAATACTGGAACATTGTTTCATATGAAGATGCATCTATGTGTGTATACATTATGGGTGGGGCCTTTTTCCAACACAATAATTGGAATATCTGGGCATTATAAGTAAGAAGCTGAAATATTATCACTTCAGGGGAATTTCTTGAGTTGCCTAACTATAAGTGTAGATTTTATGTTCTAAAGAATCCATAGAAAAAGGTGAGTATAATAAAAGAATAAAGAAGTAGAGATTTTTAAAAAGCAGAGAGAAACTCTATTTGAACTCTAAAATTTACCTGCTTTCATGAATAGGATTTTAACCTCCCACACTATACAGCAGGTTTATAATGTAGACAGCAAATATTTCAGGGAATTTCAAAATGCTTCCGGAGAAAATACATTGGTTTTGTAATTCTAAATCTTATCATGGTTTTAGCACTATTTTTAATGTTGAAATCTTAAGTTTCTATTTAACTGAATTTAAAACCACACCTATGAATAGTACATATATACATATATATGGAAATCGCACAAAGTACTCACAAGCAAACTGCAGTGTGGCTTCTCTACTAAGGACACTTCCAAAGCTGTTAGTTGCTAAACACTGGTACTGGCCAGAATCCTTTGATTCACTTGGGTTACTTATAATGAAGGTGCCATCTATCAAACTGTAGCGATAGTCACTTTCCACATCAATGTGTGTTCCATTACGAAGCCATCTGAAGAAGACGACAACAATGTAAAAGTTACTTGAGACATTGTGACACTCTCTGCAAAGTTCTTAAGGTTTAAGAAAAGTGATGAAGAGTGAATCCCCACCTGTAACTGGGAGCTGGGTCGGCACGAACTTCACAATTCAGTGCTACCTTCTTTTCATCAGAGTCAGTCGGGAAAATGATATTGTCTGGTTCCTGAACAAACACCGGCCCATAGTCCACACTTTCTGTAAAGACCCAAGGGATGCACTTTAAAATTCCTCAAAGGAGCAAGACATTTTGCACACACATAATTACATTAAAATTTCTTGTTTTTGTTTTAAAGAAATGGGTGAATTGGAAAAAGGGATAGCTGACAAATACATTGTTTTTACTAAATTGTAGGCACCTAAAAATGTGTTATTCGCTAAAAAATGCTCTTATATGTTGTATCAGGATATATGTAGTAGAAGTATATAATAGCATACGTAGTACAAAAACACATGCATATTTGCAAAGTGTCCTTGTTTCATTTTCTAACACAAACCAAAGAAAAACATTAAACATTTTAAGGAACCTAAAAGTTTGTAAATCTATGAGAATGTCAACAATAATATGTGATAAAAAGTGACAAATTAATATGGTGCCAATAAAAGCTACACATATGAAAACCTTAGTACTGATTTTTTCTGTATTTTTTTCTTCACTCATCACTCAAATATAACTTAGTGCTAATGATGCCAAAGTATAAGACTAATACTATAATATAAACAACTGTATTTTCGTGGGGTAATGATAACCTTTTTTTCAAAAAAGTTTAGTAAAGGTCAAACATTTAAACACTTTAAATGGCAAATATATAAGGGGGTCAGAAGCAAAAAGACCTAAGAGGCTAAGTACGAAAAGCACTCACATTCACTGTCTGCTACATTTCACGTTTGAGATTCTATTTCATCTAGTTAGTTCTTACTCTGAGAAATCCTATGAAAAAGACAATTTGAAACTAATGAAAAATTCATATAAAAAGTACGGATGAAAACAGATCTCAAATGTCAGCCTAGACATGAGTTTAATAATAAGTCTGCTGGAGAAATAATGAATAAGTGTGCGAGAGCAGAAGTAAGCCTCGTGAGCCTGCAGTGCTTGAGAACACAGAGCTCGTGTGCACACTGGGACCGACAGTACCGCAAGTGGTGAGTTTGGTGAAAAATGGAACTCCTTTCCGTATTATCATGGTTAGGTGACAGCTTTGCATCACGATTTCTCAGTCTCAGTACAATGAACGTTTGGGGACCGATGTCTGTTATGGGTCACTGTCTTCTGTGCTCTATTACATTTGCAAGCATTTCTGGCCTCTACTCACTGGATTCCAGAATTGTCCTTCCCAACCTGTAACAGTGGAAAATGTGTACAAACATTGCTGAATGTGTCCAGGTCAAGATCACCTTACTGGAAATCACTTCCTTAGATCACTGAAGAGGGAAGAATTCAGGAAATACGTATTTCTAGTATCTATAATCGGTGTTTGGTGACATCCTCATTGCAAAATTGCAACGGGATTCCAGGCACATGACACCACACCTGGTTTATGTAGCTGATTTTAGGTAGGTTTTTCTGACTTTAAGCTTTACGATTTGAAAACTGCAGAATCAGGACAACGTAAACAGAAGTTCATTGGGTATGGAAACAACAGGAGATTGGCGTGATGATGTGCTGAATGCGAAGGTGCTCCAGATAACATGTGCTCTTTTATACCTGCCCATGCTGTGCGAGGCATCTTCTTGTTTATCAGTGGCAGGTCCCAAATGTCTTAGCCCTATGTGACTCCTTCATTCTATGTCTTTCTTTTTTTTTTTTTTTTTTTTTTTGGTTTTTCTCCGGTACCGGGAACCGAACCCACGACCTTGCGCTTGCCAGGCAGGCGCTTTTGCCGCTGAGCTAAATCCCCAGCCCCATTCTATGTCTTTCTGCTGAGGCAAGAATTTGACCCAAATAACAAAACATAGAAAGGTAAGATAATAGTAAAGTATTGACGTGGTCAAATGAAACAGTATTTTTTTTCCTCCCCTATTCTCTCCTTTAGGCGTAAAATTTATTGCAAGGTAGGGGCTGGGGATTTAGCTCAGTGGCAAAAGCGCCTACCCGGCAAGCGCAAGGTCGTGAGTTCGGTTCCTGGTACCAGAGAAAAACCAAAAAAAAAAAAAAAAATTTATTGCAAGGTATAAAAGAACATGTTGGCAAATCTTTTCAGTTCTCAGCAAAGGACATTGATGGTTCAATTTCCATAGAGGCTAGCTCTTAAAGCTCCATACTAACAAGGCATTACCAATATGGATACAGTCAGATGGAGTTTTGGTTCCTACTCTTGTGATAGTGTACTCCAAATATGGGTCATGATGATACACTGTTTGAAGTCATGTCTTTAACTGTTGTACTTTTTTGGTTGATGGAATTTATAATTTGTGAGACAGACTTCAAAATCTACATGATAGTAAAGTATGGCAAAGATCTTGATAACCTAGAAATTAATGTCTTTCCTTTAACCAAGTAGAAACTTTTGTGACATCTGTGTGACAGGCAGATGCCATCACACCCAGTGTTTATTTCTCATTAGAACAATGTTTTGGATTTTTTTTATTGTATCAGGCCTTTTATTAACATACTGCTAGATATTTATTTATAATGGGCTGACCCTGAAATTTGAGTTCTTGTCTGTGAAATGTCAGGCTCATAGCTCCAGAGGGGGTCTTTCTTCAGCAGAGAGCTGTTTAGGAGTAATCTATTTCTCTGTGATAGAGTATGATGAAATTTACATACTTACCCTCACTTCTTCCTGTTTATCTCCTAAATTTGCTCACGTTTTCATCAGAGATCAGAGTTTCTTGATCTTACTTCATAATGATGTTCTTAAATATTTATTGCGCCTACTCTCCACAGATTACATTCTTTCCCAATGCAAGGCTCCTGCGTGCTGTATTCCATGGAATGAGGTTAAGAATATCTATTTTTTATCTATACGGGCACCTTGCTTCTCCTTTTGCATTTCCATGTGTTCACCTCTCATGACAGACTCACCTAATTAACAGTGTGGCTCTACTTTTGCTCTCTGACTGCTAACAGATTTCAGACCTACCCAGCTGCCTGCTCCCTTTCACCTGGCCTCGGGGAAAGTAGATAATTTAAGCACTGTGGTGGGGAAATTCATAACACACAAATCTCAGAAAACTTCACCCTTCCCTTAACAATAAAAACTAAAGGCACTCATTGCTTTCTTCTCTTTAGTCACTGTCAGACTCGAAAATTCTCCTCTCAGAAAGCCTGAGAACATGGATAACAAATTTTTCATCCCCTTTTGGCACTGCTGTGGCATTATCAGCCTCTGTATTTAAACCAGCGTTGGGTCTTGACTCTACTAGTTCCAACCATCACAGGAAAGCACATAGCAAGTTGGAGCTCCTGTTTCTGGGTAGAAGACAGTAGTTCTTTAGTCAAGCAAAATGTGGTAGAAATACGAGAACGCTTATTCTTCATTTACTCGGGATAGCTTTCCCTTAACTTTACATCAGAACACAGGATAGGATATGGCCGCGGTGGCGAACCTTTTAGAGCTTTCAGCGACAACAAACAGCCTGCTGCGGCACATGTGCCACAGGTTCGCCAGCACTGCAGCCCGGCTCCTCAGGCGTTGTGCAAGGTGGCTGTGACCACGGAGCAATGCCACAGGTCTGCACAAAGAGGCCGGCACAGAGCAGCACGAACTGAAGATGCTTAAACTACGTTTGTAAGTCACAAAATTATAAAACATGTGCTGCTCTTCAGGCATAAATCCCCTGATAAACAACGCCTTCTGTGCTCATTTTTAGAAAGAGGATGTCCAATGCCCGGCCCCGATCCTTTCTGCCTGCTGCCTAACTTTAATTTACGGTCCTGCCTAGATTATTCATGAAACGTTACCTAAGCATACTGGCAATCTACCTTAGAGGAACTCTCGGCCTACCAAGTTCAATACAACGATAAGGAGCTGTCCAACAAAACTTAGCAGGAAACAACAGACACTGCCCGCTCTGACTGAAGGAGCCCGTATGCAGAGATCCCAATACTACACAAAGGAGGCAGACTATTACCTTTTCTTTTAAACCCTGCTTTCTTTCAAACATCTGCATTTTCCTTTTACACGTGTGATGGCGTATTTCTGACTCTGTTTAGGAGTAATCTATTTCTCTGTGATAGAGTATGATGAAATTAACATACTTACACTTCTGACTCTCCTCCTACCAGCAGAGTGATTTTATTATCATGATTATTTTAAATCTGGATGCACAGAGGCTGTTCAGACAATGACTAGTAGGAGACTTCCGCTGCTCCATGGCAGCCTACTGTTAACAAGATAACATTTCTAGGCTCCATAACAAAAGTGCGAGTCTGTTACTCCATCTCAGTCATCACACTTGCTACGAGCATAATATGCACGTTTCCCGTAATATAATGCACCATGCTCCCTCTTGCCACTATGTCCTTCGGTATCCTTTTCCTTCAAATTGGAAAAGATTTCTACATCTGGGTACAGCGATCCGGTATCACTTCCTCACAACGAACAAAGGGGATATGACCGTCTCATATGCTACCGGAGAATCCTATATACACTGCTGTCCTAATACTGATTGTGCACTTACTGGGCAGATCTGTGCTACTTTCAAAAAACTGAACACAACACGAGTGAGTCCATAGGTGCACGAAAATGTATAGAATTGCGAAGATGGAAGCCGGCAGAAACAGTTTCCTATGAAGCAAATCAAGTTTTGCTGGCCTTAGTGACCAAATCTCAATATCCTCAACAGTTGTATGAGACAGGTACCTGAAAATGTCATTAAACCCTGTACTTAAAATAAGAGGGAGCAGGTGGCAGTGCCCACGAATCAGTTAAACCTAAGATGTAAGCCCAGAAGAGAGAGAAGGAGTAAGTTTAAATGCTTTTATCCCACAGGTACCTGCAAAACAACCCAAATCACAACACAGGTAAGGAATTCTAATGCTGTAAAAGAAATCAAAGTCAATAATAGGAAAAATACCTTATTCCAAATAAAAAATATTTTTAAATACAGCTTATTTCAGTACTTGAAAATAAATGTTTTGGAAAGTCAAAATATAAAAGAAGGAATAAGTTATAATTATTAAAATTATAAAACACAAAAAGGGTAAAAATGAAAAGGTTGAAATGAAAGCAGAAGTGGTAAAAAAAGCTTGAAAT